GCTTTAAATGCAAGAACCACCCCGGAGGTTCTGTTCCTACTGTGGCACGGACGGCAAATTCTCCCGCGACTGCCCGTGCGAAAAGCTGGGAAACGCCAACGGGGCCGGCGACGCCGGCAGCTCCGACCGGCCCCCGAATCCATAAAAACCGAAGAGAACCAACTGTTCCTAGAGGTCGCCATAGGAGGAGACCATGTCACGGCCCTCGTCGACCCAGGAACAGTCCGGTCATACATAAACAAGAAAACGGCACGCATCGGCCGGCAGAACGGCTGGCATTACGAAGCCGACTCAAGAGTGGCGGTGCTGGCCGACGGTTCCGAGACGATGATCAAAGGCAGCCTCACGGAGCCAATACACGCCATGGGCAAAACCTACCGGCAGAAATTCTTAATCATGATCAGTGCTTGAATTACGATATGCTACTAGGCATGAACGCCCTCGAAAAGTTAGGGATGGAAATCCGGCTGAACGGACGCGTGGTACGGATAGCATCAAGTAAAGCGAGCTTGGGAGCAGTGGAGGAACTGGGCGGATTGGCACACCTGACGGAGCCCGAAAGGGCCCAGCTGGAGGCGTTCCTCGCGGCAGAAATGGGGGAGTTCGAAGGAATCACCGGAAACACCCCCCTGATCCAGCACGAGATCCGCCTGGAAGACCCGACGCCCATTAAACAACGATACCGGCCGCGAAACCCCGCGATGCGGCAGGTATCGTTGTTTTATGAGCGTCGTCGAACGACGAAGTACAGAAGATGCTTGCGGATAACGTAATCCAGTCATCAACGAGCCCTTGGAGCTCGCCCATCGTAGTGGTCCAGAAAAAAGACGGGAAGCCGCGGCTGTGCATAGACTACCGCAGGCTTAACCGAGTCACTCGCAAAAACGCCTACCCACTGCCCCAGATCAACGCCATGCTAGACAAATTGCGGGGAGCACGATACCTGTCAACCATCGACCTGAAGAACGGGTACTGGCAGGTTCCGTTGACGCCCAGGAGCAAACCGCTCACCGCCTTCACGGTTGCCTGCAGAGGCTTATTCGAATTCAACGTCATGCCGTTCGGCCTGTACTCGACACCGGCCACCTTCCAGAGACTGCTCGATCACGTAATATCGCCAGAACTGCTCCCGAACGCCTTCGCCTACCTCGACGATATCGTCGTGGTCTCCAGGACGTTCGGCGAGCACCTACGGATACTGGGGGAGGTGTTTCGCCGCCTAAGAGAAACAAAACTGAAACCGAACCCCGAAAAGTGCCAGTTTGCGAAGCGCCGATTGAAATATCTCGGACACCTGGTTGACGAGAACGGGCTGCATGCAGACCCGGAGAAAACCGCCGCAGTTGTGAATCTCACGCCGCCCCATAACGCCAAAGAAATACAGCGTTTCCTGGGGCTAATATCGTGGTACCGCCGGTTCCTGAAGGACGTATCGAGCGTAACCATGCCGCTACACCACCTCCTGAGAAAAAAGTGGGAATGGGGGGAGACGCAGCAAGCCGCATTCGACGAGGTGAAAAGGCTCCTCATGAACGCCCAATACTAGCCTATCCAGACTGGGGCCAAACGTTCGTCCTCCAGACCGACACCAGCCAGGAGGGGCTAGGCGCCGAACTCACTCAGCAAATCGACGGAACGGAGCGCGTCATCGGCTACGCTAGCCGGACGCTGAACGGCGCCGAAAAAAATTACTCGGCGACCGAGTTGGAATGCCTCGCAATAAAATGGGGCATATGGAAATTCCGCGATTACCTCAAAGGGTATCACTTCGTCGTGATGACCGACCACCATTCCCTCAAATGATTAAATACAATCGAAAGCCCGTCAGGGAGATTGGTACGCTGGGCCTTTTAGGATTAGGGCAATACGACTTCACGATCCAGTACCGCTGGGGAGCGGACAACCTCCTCGCTGACACGCTGTCCCGCCAACCACTCGAGGCCTGTACGGAGGCGGCCGCAGAAACCACAAAAAGTTCGCAGAAGTAGAGAAAAATCTGGAGCAACACCCGAATTACCGGACCGAAAATAACCGTCTCTACCGGCATATTCTGCATACACTGGATTTCAACGACGTTACCGAGGCGCAGCAATGGAAAGTATACATCCCGCGAAACCAACAAGCGAGAGTGCTCCAAGAGACACGACGAACCCACGGCCGGACACCTCGGTATAGCAAAGACACTCGTACGCCTCGCAAAGACTTCTATTGGCCAGGGATGCTGCGGGAGGCCACGAAGTACGTACGCAACTGCAAGAGTTGCCAAAAACACAAGGCGCCGCAACAATTGCCGCCTGGGAAACTCCACGCGCTCCCAGCCGAGCAGCCGTGGGACATCGTAGCGGTCGACCTCGTAGGGCCGCTGCCACACTTAGAAAACCAGCACACCTGGCTCTTGGTCCTCCAAGACAAGATAACAAAGTGGGTCGAGCTACAACCCCTTCGCAAGGCCACCGCGACCGCTGTCGCAGCGGCCGTACGAGGAAAAATAATATTAAGTCACGGGTGCCCGCGGGTAGTCATCACCGATAACGGCCGCCAATTCATAGCAGAGGAATTCAAGAAGATGTTACGAGAGGCCGGGGTGAAGCACGGTTGACTCCGCCCTACACCCCTCAATGCAACCCGGTCGAGAGAGCAAACCGAGTGATCAAAACAATGATCGGACAAACAATCGCAAAGTCCCAAAAGAAGTGGGACCGACACCTCCCCGAACTCGCATTCGCCTACAACACGGCACCCTGCGACTCCACGGGCTATACCCCCGCGTACCTCAATTACGAACGAGAATTGCGACCACCCGGAAGTGTCATACAGGCAGCAGGACAAGCCGCACCGCGACACGCGGAAAACAGGTTCGCAGAACTACACGCAGAGCTCTCGCTCGCCCGCGTGAATCTAGCGCAAAGCTTTCAGAAACAGCAAAAATATTACGACCTGCGGCAGAGAGAGAGTGGAGACCGAAACTCGAGGACAAAGTTTTGAAATGAACACATGAACTGTCCGACAAGGCAGCGACATTTAATGCGAAGCTCGCTCCGAAATATGAGGGGCCGTACTCTATATATCGCGTCCGTTCACTGGTGTTATTCGACTTGCACGATGAAAAAGAACGAAAAACCGTCTTGCGGGTGCACGTGCGCGATTTGAAGGAATTCCGGAAAAAACAGAATGCGCGAAACTGCCCCCTCCCCCACGGGCCCGGCCAAATCGCCGGAGCAGCACTTAGTATCGCCGCGATCGGCTAGCGGGCAAGGATGGAGTCCACGCGACGACAAGCGACGCGCCCGCGAATGACGGTGCCACAGGCCCGGCCACCCGTAGCAGGAATAACGCGACCACCGATCCGGCCCCCCGTGCCGGGCACATCGCGGCCACCGGCTGCCTGACGACGCCACCCGGACCTGTGACGGAAAGTACTTCGGCGAAATCAACGGAGCTCATCCGGCGGGGCATAGCGGGCCCGCGTCGGCCACCAGAGAAGATCGAGGAAGTCGACGAGCGATGAGTTGGACGAGAACGGGGGCGAGGTACCTAATCGAGGCGGAACGCGCACTTCGCACCAGGGCCCACACCGGCCCCAACAACCGACGCCGGCGCCACGCCAGCCGCTCCGACGACAAGCACCGTCGTCACCCCGGCCGCCCTAACGATGAACGCCCGGGCTGTTTTGGCCGCCCCGACGACGACGTCCCCGAGCAGACCACCGCCACCGGCCCCCGCCCCCGCCGCGACGACAGCCGCGGCCCCCGCCGACGCCGACCCGGCCGGTATCCTGGCGCTGACAGACGCGCTCATCGAGGCCCGCATCACCGGGGCCCACAGCACCGGGCCCCCGAGACCGCCGATGCCCCGCGACCCCGGCTGCGCCGCACCGCGGCGGGCACGTGGAGGTGGACAGCATCCTCTTACGGGTGCCGGTCGGGGCGGCCAGGCACCGCGTACGTATTGGGCGCTGGAAGTACGCCCTTCGCCTGGACCCACGAACCGGAGAGGTCCGCCACTGGATCCGACGCCAGCTATAGGCCTAGTTTACACTGTGCACTTAGGCCGCGGACTATACCCCAAATACGACCTAAATTATTTAGGCCGCCCGCTGTAAACACTTGATAGATGACCGGACCTGACTTAGGTCAGGCCTCTTATTTTAGAGACCTGACCTAAAATAGGGCGTCTGTGCATTACGGTGTAAACGCATCAGCAGCGCGACGCGACCTAAAAGTGCATTTATGTGCTCGGTAGGAACCGCTGCTGCTTTGTTGAGCTGTGAAGTAAGGTTAGGCCGATATTGTTGCTTCTGCACACAAAACGCTTGCCTGTCGTATTTGACAAAGAGAAAAGTGCCTAAAAAAGAAAAGATGCAGAAAAGTCCATGCGGCAGTTCTCAGCAGGATTCAAGTTCGTAAGTAGTAATGCCGTTGCTAAGGGTCAGAGCACAAAGCAACGTAATAGCTTACGACAAAGACGTAAGCATAAACGTAGATAGCGCACAAGCTTTGGTGTAAAAGTAACGCCATATGTAATTGGAGGTAAGTACGACATACGCCAAAGCTTGTGCGCTATCTACGTTTACACCTGCGTCTTTGTCGTAAGCTAACACGTTGCTTTGTGCTCTGACCCTAAGATCGGGTCTATAATAGGTTTAATAAACCTTAAGCCGTAAAAAATTGACCAATCACAGTCTGAAGTGAGGAGAATAATCGCTTGTTAGGGATCAATTTCTTACGGCTTAAGGCTTACTACACCTATTGTAGACTCGGTCTTATCAAATATAAATAGAGCTTGTCGAGATTAAACTCACGTTATCTGAATTTCGAACATATTCCGTTCAACAGCTGTGTAAAGAGACATAAAAGTTCCAGTTGGACGGATAATGAAACAATGACTTTCATCGATTTGTGTATTGAGAAGCGAATAATACAATTAATGGATGGGAAACGCCATAAACATATTGATATACGAGTATATAATTCACTGGAATCAAGCATGAAAGAGATGGGCATCATAAAAACTGGCGCTCAAATGAAGATCAAATTGAAATATTTAAAGGAAACCTATTTTAAATGTAAAAGAAACAACAATATAAGTGGTGCTGGTCGTCAAACATATCCATTTTATGATGCGATGGAACAACTTTTGGGCGGAAGGCCATCAGTCCAAGCCATTGCAGACACTGGTATCGATTCAAGTGCCAGTAGTACGCAAGGTATAAATAAGCTGTTCATTAAGTTTGAGTATGTACTACTTATTTATTTGTATTATAATAATATAATAATAATATATGCATTGATATAATTGTAGGACAAACTCAGGAAGAAGCTCAGAAAGAAACGGGAACGCAGTTTGCAGCAGAAGCAGAAGCAGAAGCTGTGCTAGAAGGTGCTTTAGAAGATGAAATGGTTGATAATCCCGTACCGTATATCGTGTCACCGAATAACACTGCACCAACACAGAAACGAACAACCGGAGGAAAGTATTATGCAATGTTTCAAACAGTGCTTGCAAAAGAGTTAATTATAAAGGAATATTGAAGTAAAAAGTATAATTAAAAATTATGAATACTTCAGTACACATACAAAATTGTCACAACTACACTACACTCTATTATCTTATGTTTATAACTATATTATATAGATTATAAGAATTGCAGTTTCCAAAAGAATACACATAAAATAATTGTTTATTCGTGTATTTTTAGGACGCACCACACACTTCAAGCTAGCGGAGAATTTCGCAGAAGTTTTTGCAAAAAGACAGGCCGAGGAAATTCAGAAAGTTATGCAGGAACAAGTGCAAATGTTTGATAAATCGATATATGCCCACATGGAGGAACAACGACGATGGGAAAAGGAAATGATGGAGAAAGAACAGCAGCATCAAATGTTACTCTTGGATAAATTTATGATAGGGTTAAAAACGGTGCAAACAGGCAACATCCAATATCCTCAGTATATACCAACTCAAATCCCTATGCATACGTTCCCGTCAACTGCCTCTACTCCAAATGTATATTCGTACCACTTATCGCCATCGCCTTCCTCATCATGCTCACCACCACCATCCTCACCATTTCCTGCAGTTCCTTCTCCGTTGCCATCACCGACTATACTACAGTCTTCGGTAACAGTGTTAACATCAAGTTCATCTTGTAATGATGATAATGAGAGAAGTACATAAGTAACGTAACGTAAATGTGATGTAAATGTGATGAAACGTTCTCATTTATTTTTGTTTATTATATTTTATATTGCAATATATTTTATAAGCGATAAAGGACATTATACATGTATAG